GACTAAGTAGATGAAACCTAACAACAAGTTTCATTAGGGGGCTTTCCAAAAAATGTCCAATCAAGCAGTGGTGTCTAAGAAAATATTCTAGGCCAGTTAAATTCAAGGTAGAGAGTTCAGCTCAGGTTATGCCCACTAAATACCGGGGTTCCAAAAGTTACAGGACAATCATGGGGACTTTTTAGAAGAAGTTTGAAGAAAATTAAAAGTGCATTGGTGAGAAAAGGCCAGGAAATTTGTACTGCAGGATTTTTTAATCTTGGCAATGTACTTGTTTATTCTTTAAGAGTAGCGAAGGCTATCGTATGAGAATTTCATTGGAAAACCATATCCCATCCATGCTAAACCCTGACCTTGACCTTTCAAACTTCTTTTTATTTCGTACACTTAAAGAACATTTTTAAAGATTATGATTTGTGTCCCTTAAGGATGCCAAAACAGTCATTTGAGGTGGTGTAAGTAGATGTTTAATTCTTCAGGGAAGTGTTGAGGAGATGGAAACACTTTATTAAAAAGTGTGTAGACCTACCTGGAAAATATGTTGAGGATTAATAACTTGGCATTTTGCTCTATTTGTTTAACAAAGGTTTCTAGGTTTCTGTGGTTTTATGGCAAAACTTTTTTATTTAACCTTATATGCACATATATGTACAGACCTACACATACAGTCATACATGTTTGCATGTATATGTGTCTGGGGGTAACTGTGTTTGGTAGAGGCAATATAATATGCATAGATATATACATGGTTAGATTTTTAAATGAAACAAAATTTCAGAAATCAATTTTGCCTGTTATACTCTAGTTGTTGTTAAGTGCCATTGAGTTGATTCCAACTCATAAAAAAATTCATAAAAAGCGAGTAGTCCAATGCTTATCATACAGTGCCACTCCAGTACTTCATATAATCTGTTGTTGTTAAGTGCCGTTGAGTCAGTTATGACTCATATTGACCCTGTATAGGATTTCTGAGGAGCAGCTGGTGAGTTTGAACTGCCAAACTTATGGTTCACTTACAGTCCAGTGCTGATCCTACAGTGCCACACCAGGAGTCCTCACATACTCTAGTAGTTTGTAATTTATTACATAAAAACATTCTGCTTTGAACCCAGATAATTGATTTCATAATCCACTAATGGGTTGTAACAAACAGTTGTTAAAACATTGGTTTAGGAATTGGCTGCATAATCATACTGGCAAAATGAAAGTGGTCTTGTCACTAACCACTATCACAGCATATGGTAGCCGCCTAATGCCAACATGGCAGTGTGTTACTTAAACCACAAATCTGTCAGCATGGCAACATAATAGTGAAAGAGTTGTTGCTATCAGTTATAAGGAATGTATAACATGTATATGTTACAAGCAGCAAGGATTGATTGCATTACTATCGTATAGCTAAATATGACTGTTTAATAGTTGGTGGAAGAATGCTAAATATTTAGAGAAGATAGAAAATTAAGAAAGTTTGGTGGCTCAATGGTTAAACGCTTTTAATCAGTGAGGACTTGAGGGCAGCTAACAACAACACATTATTAAACTGCATTTGGATATATCAGCATGAACTATTTTCCCTAGGAATATATACAGATATATTTTATTTAAGATCAATAATCCATTCCCAAAACACTAACTGCTAGTCTAATTCTGTTTCTTACTGTTTTAAATGGGAAAATGTATAATATATTTTAGGTCATCCACAAAATGTAACTAATTTCCTACAAAATAAATACAGTAATGTCTGTTGAAAAATATCAAACAATCTAATTAAGATATAGTCTGTATAGAATATTGTTTTCTTATTGCCAAGGAGTTAATACGATTATTAGCACAATTGCTTTATATATAGTTACATGTACTGCTTACAAGCCATAGGATAATCTCTGGTTTTATGATATGCTTTTGCAATAAGAAATTTGGTATTAAAAGTCAATTCAAGGAAATTTCCCAAAATTGACTGTCATAAAATTAAAGGAGACCCGAAGCCTGAAGAATGTCCAGACAGGAGGAGGACATTTAGGTTAAAGCTGTCATTGTTATTTGCAAAAGTTGATGCTACTGATAAGCTGGGTGACAAAGGAACAGTTTTACAGCTATCAGATTCAGAGGAACTAATTGAGATAATCTTATCAATGATGTGTAGATTGCTAACAGGAACGCTTTAATAAATCATCAGGAATGGTGGTCAAAATGAAAAAAATAATTGCAAAAATGCAAATACACTTATTTTTCTGTTTTTATATTTTGTCGTATGTTCCTATAAGAGATAACAGACTAATTTTAAAAAGACAGATGTGTCATTGCAACATCACACTATAGATCTGTGAATATTTTCTTTGTTTAAACCCAGTACATTTTTAATATCTATGCATGATTCTTACATACTGCCAGTTTGGAAAGTAACTTCACTCTCTTCCATCACAAATATATATTTTCACTATACCAATGCCAGTTTAAAAATTGAGGCTTTTAGAGATTTATACATATTTCTTGAAGTTAAAATACAAAACCAAAAAGTACTTTTACTGGATAAGCATTACCTAGAGAGACAGTCTCAGGGATAATTTGCAGTTTCAGGCTCTGACAAATCTAAAGATTTAGAACTTATACAGTCTGATGGCACTTGTGGTTGTTGTTAGGTGCCATCGAGTCAGTACCATCTCATAGCAACCCTATGCACAATGGAACGAAACACTGCCTGGTCCTAAGCCAACCTCACTATTGTTGCCACACTTGAGCCCATTGATGCTTCCACTTTGCCAAACCATCTCTCTGGGGGTCTTCCTCTTTGTCTCTGACCCTCCACCTTACCAAACATGATATCCTTCTCCAGTGACTGGTCCTTCCTGACAATATGTCCAAAATATGATAGACGAAGTCTGGCCATCCTGGCCTCTAAGGAACACTCTGGCTGCACTTCTTCCATCACAGATCTGTTGGTTCTTTTGACACTGAACACACCTAATTAAAAATGGTGACCTCTATTTTCCATTTTCCAAAAAAAAAGAATTAGGTTCCATGAACCAAAGGTTTATTCCAGGTATGGAACAAAAAATTGATAAGATGAGCTTGTGATACATAATCATGTTAAAGAGCAAAGAAGCTGTCAGACTAATGGTACCAACAGGAAGAGTCCCTAATTAACCAGCTGTAGAACAATTGAAGCACCACAGAAGTGGATAATTACTGTTGAGTTGATTCAGACTCATGGAAATCTCCTGCAGGCAAAACAGAGCTGCTCCATAGGGTTTTCAAGGTTGTGACCTTTCAGAAAGATATCACCAGGCCTGTCTTCAAGGTGCCTCTGGTAGTGGTCAAACTGCTCTTTTTCAGCTAGTATCCAAGCACTTAATTATTTGCTTAATTTGTCTAATTGTCCACAAGCTCATAAAGAAGGAGAAAGGAAAAGGGAGGAAGGAAGTAAAGAAAGTGTAGAGTGGAAATTTCACAAGTCAACTAGCATTAGCAATCTTTGTTGTTGTTGTTGTCAGGTGCCATCGAGTCGGAACCGACTCATAGCGACCCCATGCACAGCAGAACGAAATAATGTCCGATCCTGGACCAACCCCACCACCGCAGCCACACTTGACGCCATCAATGATGCCACCTAGCTGATCCATCTCATTGGGGGTCTTCCTCTTTTTCTCTGACCCTCCACCTTACCCAGCATGACATCCTTCTCTAGCGACTGTTCTTTCCTGACAACATATCCAAAGTATGAGAGACAAAGCTTAGCCATCCTGGCCTCCAAGGAGCATTCTGGCTGCACTTCATCCAAAACAGATCTATTGGTTCTTTTGGCAGTCCATGGCACTTTCAGTATTCTCCTCCAACACCACAACTCAAAGGCATCACTTCTTCTACGGTCTTCCTTATTCACTGTCCAGCTTTCGCATCCATATGAGGCTATTGAAAATACCATGACTTGGGTCAGGCGCACCTTAGTCCTCAAGCTGACATCTCTGCTCTTCAATACTTTAAAAAGTTCCTGTGCAGCAGATTTGCCCAATGCAATAATACATCGTCTGATCTCTTGACTGCTGCTTCCGTGAGTGTTGATAGTTGATCCAAGAAGAATGAAGTCCTTGACAATTTTAATCTTTTCTCTGTTGATAAGAATGTTGTTTATTGGTCCAGTGGTGAGGACTTTTGTTTTTCTGACATTGAGATGCAACCCATACCGAAGGCTGTGTTCTTTGATCTTCATCAGTAAATGTGTCAAGTTCTCTTCACTTTCAGCAAGCAAGGTTGTATCATCTGCATTATCACAGATTGATAGTATCAGGAGAGAATATCTTGAGAAATTTAAAGTGACAGTATCAACATAAAGCCAAATGGCCACCACTCGTCTGTCTGTCATGCTGTGGTGGCTTGAGTTGCTATGATTCTGAGGGCTATGCCACCAGTATTTTAAATAATCGGCAGGGTCACCCATGGTGGACAGGTTTCAGATGAGCTTCCAGACAAAGACAGACTAGGAAGAAAGAGTGACAAACTACTTCCGAATCGCTAGTCACTGAAAACTCTATGAATAGCAATCTTTATAGTTACGGAATTCGATGCTTTAGAAATGTCAACAAAGGACATGTAAGTGTACAAGTATGCTTTCTACAGTATTAGAAAATGTCAAAAGTTGTAAGCAATTTAAATAGCTAGCAATAGGGAAATAATAAAAGTACCTATATTTTGTTAAATATTATTCAGTCACTAAACACAATGGAACACAACTTTAAGAACTGTGATATTAAGATGTACATAATCTATTGTTTAGTGGGAAAAAGTACATCTTAGAGTAATATAAACGGCTTTATATAAGACTGGAGTGATAAATACCACAACACATGGAGATAGTATATATTTGGAGAGGGAACTTTTCCATTTTTCTTAATATGTCCCTATATTATTTTTAAAGTTTGCATGAAAGATTATGTTGATTTTAGAAGGAAAAAGATGATTCCTTCTATGTAACACCTATTCTCTTGCTTCCATCTCTTCTTAAGGTGTCTGACAGCAAACAAGACTTGTCCTGTAAATTACATCTGGAATAATCACATCTGCAGATGTCTGGCTCAGCACGACTTTATTTTTTCCTCCATTGCTGGAGATGGTAAGTAAAATACTATTTGAAAGACCAAATGCCAGGGCTCTATATTTTTATTAATGAATATTTATTAAAACCACATGTACAATATTCAAATCAGTATAACTTGAAGTACACCACTACAAAACAGGATTTTTTGAACTCCTTATTGGTATGATTTTGAATTTTTTTATAAAGGAATATATTTATCTTCCCACATAAACCTTTAATGAGAAATAAAAAAGAATAAGATGTTTAATATTCCACATCAAGTAAGGTTAAACTAAACATGTACTGGTTGTGTTTGTCTAGACTCTACAGGTGAAGTCCATGACATCTGCGGACCCAACAAGGAGCTGGATGAAGAAACTTGTCAATGTGTCTGTAAAGGAGGACTTCGGCCATCCAGCTGTGGGCCCCATAAGGAACTAGATAGAAATTCATGCCAATGTGTCTGTAAAAACAAACTTTTACCCAGCTCTTGTGGGGCTAACAGAGAATTTGATGAAAACACATGCCAGTGTGTATGTAAAAGAACCTGCCCAAGAAATCAACCACTAAATCCTGGAAAATGTGCCTGTGAATGTACAGAAAACCCACAGAAATGCTTCTTAAAAGGAAAGAAGTTTCATCATCAAACGTGCAGGTAAGAAATCTAAAATAGTATCAATTTGTCCTTATGCAAACTTGTCTGTCAGGTTTTTGTACTGTGGTGTTTTTCATGCTTCTGTGATGCTGGAAGCTATGCCATCATTATTTCAAGTATCAACAGAGTCGTCATGATGAACAGGTTTGAGTGGAGCTTCCAGACTAAGAAAATATAAGAAGAAGGATATGTGAGTCTACTTCTGGGGGAAAAAACAACAGAGGCCAGTTTAAATCTTGTGGATAATAATGAAGCATTGCTAGATATAGTGCCAGAAGAAACAGTACTTCAGGATAGATCTTAAAATGTTCTTTATGATAATGAATATGATACCAATTCTCTTCAAATTATCTCTATAATAGACCATATGATTGTTTAAATCAAAATGGGCAATACCAATTCACTAATGCCGAGGTGTGGAACTGAAGGATAAGCACTGGACTGTTAAACCACAAGGCTGGTGATTCAAACCCGCCAGCAATTCCTCAGACATGCTATACAGGGTCGCTGTAAGTCAGAACTGATCCTATGACACTTAACAACAACAACAGCAACAATGCCTAGGAAATAAAATGTTGTGTTACATTTCATTGACACCTTTCAATTTTCCTTGGTGCATATTTCATACATTCCATGTTCTGATAATTAATGGATGTTTTTGGTGTTTCTTCTTATTTAGACTCATGCTACATCAGCAAACAAAGGTCCCAAAAGCTTTACTTATCCACATTATTAAAGTCAACTCTACCTTGAAGAGGCAGCTCTTGCCCAGTAATATTTTTGCATAACTTCCAAACAGAGGGTTGTATCTTCATGACACAAATAGTTAAGCACTTGGCCGATGACCAAAATTTGGAGGTTTGAGTCCAAACAGATGTCTCAGAAAAAAGGCCTTATTATCTACACATGAAAAATTCCAGTCATTTAAACTCTGTGGAAAACATTTTTTTTTTTCTGACATGCTTCAGTTGATATTGACTTAACAGAAATTGTCATGACACTAGATTTGCTCCCAGAAAAGAACCTTGGATACCAAAGTCAGGTCTAAGCTCAAAATAGTGTCTAAATCCCTTGTCCCAGAGGCTAATACAGTGGCACACAATCCCAACTGGTAAACAGATCTATAATACAAGTCACCTGTGGATCCAAGCAATCTATACCTGTCCTCATAGAAATTGTGATATGTGAACTCACTATTATAGATGCGATCATTTTGTTAAGAATACAATAATGTATATCCTGTGTGAAGTCAATGCGTGTTTTTTTTTTTTCATAATAGTATTTACAAGTACAATCAGTATACTATTTACTAGTACTGTCAGAATAGTGCAGAGATGGTATCAAAATTGTTTTTAAAAAATGAAACTGCCAATAGCAAGACTAAATATCAAGAGAAGATTCAGTCCAAAACAGACATTAATTTAAAAACTAAAGAAAATGGAATGAGTGGAAAGTAGGCAAGCCTTCTATTTCCCTCAAATATCTGTATTCTTTGTTACATTTCACATGGACTAAACTTTCTGTTGCCTTCTTTAATCTCTTCTCTTCTTTGTCTAATTTTGAGATGACATTGTACTGTCTTGATTACCCTCACAATTTTCTATCCATTTATTCTCAGTCACCTTCACTTAATTATCTTCTCTCATTTCATTTTTATATATGGCAGATAATTAAATTATTTATATGTTATAAAATTTACATTTCATTTGTTTACAATTTAGTATATTTAATATATTGAGTTCCAGTTTTACTTGCATATCCCTCTTTAATTACCAAAATGATAATTCACAAAAATGCAGTTGTATTCACAAGAATATAAGCAACTTGATCATACAAAACCTTCATTTTATATTTTGAATCCTTTTAAATAAACCTAATAGATATATTTTTAAAGATTTCCTACTAGTGTGGCACTGTTCTGGACTGCAAGGTCAGTTTGAACAACAGCGTCGGCTGTTCAAGCACATTACCTGCTCCTTGGGAACCCTATTTAGGGTCAGTATGAGTCAGAACCAACTCAAAGGCACCTGACACCAAACAACAGTCATTATATTTATCATACTAGTATACATTCAGAGTCCTGATGTGGTGCTGCAGGTTAATGCTCTGGACTGCAAGGTCTATTTGAGCTGCAAGGTCGGTGGTTCAAACTCACCAGTAACTCCTTGGAAATCCTATACAGGGTCTCTGTGAGTCATAACTAACTTGACAGTACTTAACAACAATTTACAACAAAGCATACATTAAGAGTCCTGGTGTGGCACTTTGGGATAAGCACTGGACAGCAAGGTCAATTTGAACCATAAGGTGGTAGTTCAAACCCCCCAGTCACTCCTCAGAAACCCTATGCCAGGTCACTGAACTGGAATTGACTTGATGACAGTTAACAACAACAGTATGTGTTCTTTCCTAAAGATATTATATGCACTGCTACTCTCTCTAGAGGACCCCTGGTTGCACAGTGGTTAAAGCTAACTGTGAAACAAAACATTGATTTTTCAAACTCACCTGCCACTCAGCAGGGTAAAGCTATGATAGTTTGTTTCCACTAAAGATTTACAGCCTTGGAAACCCTATGGGACAATTCTACTCTAGCTTACAATAATTGTATGAGTCAGAATTGCATTGAAGCCAGTGTTACTATTTTCTGGTTTTGACAAGTCTTTCTGTTTTCATCTAAGTATCTAAGTGTGTAATTCCAGGTGTTTTGATGAGTATGTGTATTATATGCGCTGTAGGATAAATACTGGACTGTTAATCATCATAAGGTCAGTGGTTTAAACTCATTAGATACTGTTCAGAAACCAGTTATAGAGTTGCTATGAGTTAGAACCAACTTTATGACACTTGAAAACAACAGCACAGGAAAAGATATGTATAGATATAGAGTTGTTAAGTGCCGTAGAGTCGGTTCTGACCCATAGTGACTCTGTATAGTGTTTCTGAGGAATGACTAGTGAGCTAGAACCTCTGACCTTGCAGTCCAGAGCAGTAACCCACAGAGCCACACCAGGACAATATATATATTATTATTATTGTTGTTGTTGTTGTTGCTAAGTATTGTCAAGTCGATTATGACTCATAGCAACCCTATATAAGGCTTCCAAGGATCAGCTGGTGGGTTTGAACTGACCTCCTTGTGGTTTGAAGTCCAGTGCTGATCCTACAGTGCCACTCCAAAAGCTTACCCTTTTAAAAAATATTTATTCTGAATTTGTGGTAGTCAGAGTATATAGTCTTTGGTTCACTGCTTTAATCAGCAATTTTTATTGATAAATTCATTCCTGTTTATGTCTTTTGAATGCATTTGTATTTAGAAGTAGTTTTTCATTTTGTAAGAATATTTATAAGAACAGTTTAACTAAAGGTATACTTTCTATTTTAGGGTATAAGAAATATTTTTAAACCAAATTTTTAACTTTTTTTTGGTAATGTCCTATTGCTTTACACATGTCATATCATCTTTCATTTTAGCCTGAACACCCATCCCAAATGTTAGGCATTCAAATGGTTTTTAATTAGTGCTTCAAATAGTTCTTCAAACATAGCACAAAATCCATTGGCGCAGCTTGATTACTGAAACTACTGACTAATTGATCATTTGTCCTTCCACCATTGCTAGAACTAAAAGAACTTACTTGGAACTACTGGTGAGATCTTCCCCTTCTCTCAGTCCATATTTGTTTCACATGGAGCCCAGGTGGAGAAGGGAGAATTGGCCACCATCATACAGCCAGCTGCCAAGTAAAGAGACAAAATTAAGGGTGGGGTTGCTTACTGAGGACCATGGTCCTGCCAGAATGACTCTTTACTTGCCTGGAAATCTGGATTCCATATCAATTCCAGATTCTTGTGTATCCTGCCATGCTTACGTGATCACAGAAAATCAGAACAGTAAACGTTCACTTTCATAATTTCTGTTTTATGTTACTTTCACCCATGAAGCAGAAAGCACTTCAAAAGGTCTAATGCTTACAGTATCCATCTTTCCATTTGCTACATCAGGAGACCAAATTGTTTTAAATTTTTTTCATGCTTTTAAATTTTGCAATTATGAAGAAACTTTAAAAGTTTATAAAACTAAGAACAATTTTATGATAAAATGAATAATTTTATTGTAGTTTGGCATTTAGAACAACACAAAAGTGCATTTGTGGCATAATAAATTAATTGCCTTGGCCTTTAATGAAAATGTATTCTTCTTTCTTGTTCCAGTTGTTACAGAAGGCCATGTCCAAACCGACTGAACCATTGTGAGCCAGGATTTTCATTTAGTGAAGAAGTGTGTCGCTGTGTTCCTTCATATTGGAAAAGGCACATATGAATTAAGATACTATTTTTCAGTTCATCATTTTCTATTATGGAAAACTGTGTTGCCATGTTAGAACTGTTTATGAAGACAGAGACCTTTGTGGTAACAAGGACAAAATTCATGTTTTCTGAACCATGTGGATAACTTTACAGATATGGACTGGAACTCATCTGCCAGCAACCTCAGTTAAGACTGATTTCCTGCCAATGACCAAACTGCCAAGGTTTCTCCCTCATGTTTTTTTTTAAAAAAATAATAATTAATGACTATATAATTTATTGCCACTAAAATATTGTTTCTCCATTCATTTTTATAGCAATAACAATTGGTAAAGTTCACTGTGATCAATATTTTTATAGCATATAAAATATGTCTAAAATAAAATGAAAATTATGTAATACGCTGGTAATTTCAGTCCATTAGCTCTTACACAACCAGCAAAAATTGATATCTTGAAGCCATTGATATTGTTCCCTCTTTTTCTTTCCCTAACCAAATGCCAGGTTTTTATTGTCAAGACAAATTATGATTCTATAAAATGAAGTTTCAGAGCAACCAACAAAACCCAGTATCACTGAGTTAATTCCAAATCATAGCTACTTTGTAAGACAGAACCGAAATAACCCATGGGGTTTCCAAAGCTGCAAATCTTTGTAAATATTTCTTCTGCAAAGTAGCTGTTGGGTTTGAATAGCCAACCTTTTGATGGCAACTGAATGCTTTAACCACTGTGCCACCAGGGCTCCTTCTCAGAGGGACAGTAATATGCTATTGCATTTTGTTTGAATCCATCCGTTAAGATATTTAAAGATTATAAACATTTAGTACCTGAAACTTTTTAATTTATAACAAATTAATCCATAGAGAACATATGATTTTTGTAAGATAATCTACCTAGCAGGTCCATGAGATTGCAAGTTACCTAGTGCACTCTTGCTTTAGTATTTATTAAAATGCGTTTTCAACTATTTAACTTCTGACTAACCAAGATACTTAGTTTTAACTGCCGTGCTCCTAACCAACACATTGAAAATAACCTGGAAAAACAATTTAAATGGTCATAAACATTAAAAATGAACACATTTCGGTCACACACTGAAGTACTTGTTTCGTTTCCTAAAGGGCATCACACTAAAATACTTTTCTCTGGAGGATTATTCTACCTACTTAAATGCAACCACATTTTAAAAATGTCTATAAATGATTGAAAATGTAACAAGAAACATTTTTTAAAAAAGGTGTTTAATCAATACAATGCTAAGTGTTAATATCTACATGGTTTGTTATAAAATAAATAATATATTTTTATAAAATACTTAAGTAGAAGGTTTTTGCCCTAAAAAGCATTCTCAGTGATTTGAGTCCTGACTTTTAAAACAGGTTTACATTCAATGTTTACCGAATCCTAATCATGTGCTCTCTACAAAATTAAATATAATAGCATGATTTTTCTTATAATGGAGAAGAAAATTAGCAGTCTTCTAGTATTTTCTCATTGTATATTTATGGACCATGTTCTTGCTCCTTATTAATTATAACTCTGAAGACTTTAGTCAAAACAAATCTATATGTAGCAGACATAAAATGTGTAATTTACAAATTTTGAAAACAGGGAGAAAAAAGCAAATTTGACAGTAGCTACAATTTTCTTAAAATGTATCTTAAAGAACACATTCAGAAGTGATTGTGGAAAGTAAACCTGGAATCAAAATCAGGAAAACCTCCCATCTGTTGGAGAGGTACAGATTTTTATCCATGAAATGTCATCATCTATGAAATTCACCATAGGCAAAATTCAATAATTTTCACTCTGTCTGAGCCAAAATTGAAAGCATGAAAACTGCTAGTGTGTTATTATTAGTCTGGTCAATTATTTCTTAGTTTAAAAAAAAAAAAAAAATGATACTTGGACGCTTCAAAAAGTTTGTGGGAAAATTCCATTATCTTTTAATTGCATTTTCCGCAAACTTTTTGAAAGTATATAAATTTTTAATCTAATATGAAAAAAAAAAAAAATACTTTGAGCTCCAAACAAAAACCCTAGGGCCATGAAAAGCATATTAAGACCTGATAAAAGGACTGTTATTTGTTGTCTTAACTGTAATGGCAATTTGTTTCCCAGAATATATGGCTAAACCAAAAATTAAAGTCTGATGCATGCCATAAAGATAACACTTAAATTTATGAATTATTTAGACCAAAGACAAGAATGTTTTCATAGTTATTGTTGTGGTTAGGTGCCATTGAGTTAGTTCAGACTCGCAGCTCCACTATATACAACAGAATGAAAAATGCCCCATGCTGTGCCACCCTCATAATTGTTGCTATGTGTGAAACCAATATTGTAGCCTCCGTGTCTCATTAAGGATCTTCATCTTTTTCACTTTAACAAGCACTGTGTCATTTTCCAAGTACTGGTCCCTCTGGAAAACATATCAGAAGTACATAAGAGTAAGTCTCTTCAGCATCCATTCTAGGTAATAAACACAAAATGTATGTTTGTTCTTCTGACAGCACATTGTCTATTTAATATTCTTCACCAACACCAAAATTCACATGCATCAACTCTTCTTCAGTCTTCTGTGTTCATTGTCCCGTTTCCACATGCATAGGAGGTGTTTGAAATACCAGGATTTGTGTCAGGTACACCTAAGTCCTCAAAGTTGAAATTTTTGCCTTTGAGCACTTTAAAGAGGTATTTTGCAGCAGCAGACTTGCCCAATGTAATACATCGTTTGATTTCTTGATTTTTGCTTCCATGAGTGTTGATTATGGATGTAAGTAAAATGAAATCCTTGACAGCTTCACTCTTTTCTCTGCTTATCATGATGTTGCTTATTGGTCCACTTGTGAGGATTTTTGTTTTCTTTGTGTTCAGATATAAATCAAACTGAGGACAATTGTGTTTGATCCTCATCAGTAAGTACTTTAAGTCCTCTTCACTTTCATCAAGGAAGATTGTGTCAGCTGTAAGAATTGGGTGTATAAAGATAACACATTGTCAGATATACTTGCAAGCAGTTTTATACGGGCCATAAAAATGCCATAGCTTTCCACAACAAAGAATAAGATTTTTTGGGATGCAAGTTAATAAGCTGGACTAGAATACTCTAAGCTGTTTAGAATATTAACAGTGTGATTTATCAAAAAATCCAAAATAATATTACAGTGAGAATATTCATAGGTGCTGCACAAAAGTCCCAAAATATTTATCCAGGCACTCTAAAGAATAAAAAAGATAAACCTCTGGAAGTTTGCAACATCCATTTATATATAAAAGTCTTAGAGTGTATAACAAGAACTGTGTGTCCAGAAATTCAATACTGTTTACTCCATTTAGAGAACACAAGAGAAATACTTTCGGTACAAAACTTAGCTTTCAATTTTTCTTTTTTAATATGGAGTTTTTATATTTGCTAACTGATTGAGAGAAACAGATTTCTGTGTTGGATGTTCAGAAAATAACCAGAAGTTTGAGACGTGAATATGACAGAATTTACTGGCTATCCTAAATGTACTTCCTTAAGGAAAGAAATGAGGACTAGACTCTTAGCTGTATGCACTCTAGACATTCTCCAGAGAACCCTGATCCACAGGAATTTCACACAAAGTTGAGATAGAAGTAGACACAACAGTTGAGACAGTTCATATTACCCCAAGTAATTCAGTGCATTGCCAAATTGAAATTCCTCACGTGGTTAGTAAGTTTCCATGTTCACCATCTAAGAAGTACACAGACCAAGAGCTGAACAAAAATTTCTTGGCCCACATGCTATCTACATTACTATGCTTTCCCCATGATCTGAGCTTTCATTAACAGATTTTCAAAGAATACAGGGAATTTTCCCTTTGATTTGCAAATGAAATGAGTAAAAACTAACATTTTACTCAGCTACAGAAGAAGATTACAATGCATTATCATCAAAAATAGTATTTCAATATCTATCTTGAAATATACTCCTGTCTGTGATAGGATGATATCCATATGCCTACAAGGCAGACCAATTAATACGACTAGTATTCAAATGTATGCACTAATCACTAAAGCCAGTGATGATGAACTTGAAGAAAGCTATGAACTTCTTCGGAGTCCTGGTGTTGAGCTTTGGACTAATGTGTCATACTGCAAAGTCATTTGAACTGTAAGGTCAGTGGTTCAAGCTCATCAGCTGCTCGTTGGAAACCCTATACAGCGTTGCTATGGATCAGAAGAGACTCAATGGCTTTTAACAGCAACAGCAACAGCAACATGAACTATTTCAGTTTGAATTGATTGAATATACCATCATGATCTATTTATTACTACTGTTGTTTGAAATGCAAAGGTTGGAAACTAAGAGGAAAGATCAGTAGGTGGAAAATATAGCCTTGGTGATAGAAATACTGTTGGATGTCTCATGTTCGAATACTGTAAAACCAATGATTTCTTCTTTGCAAATGCCTTTTTTTAAAAACCATAAAAGATGACTGTACACATAGACCTCACCAAATGACATACACAGAAATGAAATTGACTACATCTGTAGGAAAACATCAACCAAAACAAGGCCAAGAACAGACTGTGGAATAGACCATCAGTTGCTCATATGCAAGTTCAGGTTAAACCTGAAGAAAACAAGTCCATGAGAGCCAAAATATAACTTCTAACATACCTCACCTGAATTTAGAAACCATCTCAATAACAGATTTAATGCATTAAACACTAACAACCAAATACCAGAAGAGTTGTGGGATGGCATCAAGAATATCATAAAGGAAGAAAGCAAATAAATAACATCATGGTAAATGTAGAAAAGAATGAAGTTGTGAAAGACTTTATTTTGTTCAGATTCACCATCAACACATGGAAGCAGCAGTCAAGACATCATGACCCAAGTCATGGTATTTTCAGTAGCTTCATATGCATGTGGAAGTTGGACAATGAATAAGGAAGACCACAGAAGAATTGGTGCATTTGAATTATGATTTTGAAGAATTGCCAGATCAAGTAATTCTGTGTTGGAAGGAGTACAGCCAGAATGTTCCTTACAAGCCAGACTTAGCCTCTCATACTTCAGACATATTATCAGGAAGGACCAGTCCCTGGAGAAGGACATCATGCTTGGTAAAATGGAGGGTCAGTGAAAAAGAGGAAGACCCAGGCAGTGTTTCGTTCTGTTGTGCATAGAGATTTTATAGGTCACAACCTACTCAACAATACCTAATAACAACAATGGAAGAGGGATGTTGAATTTTTATGTAATAGATCAATTCATGAAAGCTCTGAATAAATATAGTTATTATACCCCTGCCGGGGACTGGCCTCGACATAGGTGTTTGGTTCACGAGGAGGGGATACCTGGCAGTGATAGGGATAGCAAAAGAGACACAGAGACGCAAAGAGAGAGACAAAGAGGCACC